AACTTATTAACAATGTGTGTTAACTGATGTTAAATTACTGTAACAATTTAAAAAAATGCATATTAAGATCAAAATACAGTATCTCAATTTAAACAGTTTAAAAGTACTGGGTACAAATGTTTAATTTAACCCGTTATATGAAAATATCAGAAACAGGAAACAGAAATCACTATTTGTTACATATTTAAGATAAGATTGAATGGACTCAGTATAATGACCCTCAGTATTAAACTCTTGTGAGACAATTTATCGAAATTATTTGGAATAATATTCTTGGAAATTTATCAATCTTGTCCGAGGATTATTTCACATTGAAAAAAGTCTCACTATATTTCTTTTTTTTTTAACTTTAAATGCCACATGATTGTGAATTAAACCTTAAAACAAAGAAAGAAAAATGCATCACATTTATTGCAAAATATATCTATCTATCACATGGAATGTTTGCTTTTTAAGCTCATATAAAGCAAAAATATATCATTATATATATATAATATATTAAACATATACAACACAAAGCGTACACGGGTATACATAAAAACACACAAACAGTGTACAAATATATAGAATCAAAAAAGGAGTATAATGAACAATGTTTTGTATATGCTGTATTCTACAACCAAATATAATTATGTAAATGGAGTTATTGCTGGAAAAAAGGTGTGCTACAAGGTTCATCACTTTAACAACCTCTATTATCACTGGAATGTTTTGTGAACAACCAATATGTATCTTACCCTTTACAAAAATATATACAATGCTATCACAACACAGTCCCAATTTGCTGGCATCAAACAACAAAGCATCATTCCTTGTACATTAAAAATAACTACATACATCTTACTAAGCAGTTATTCATACAATATATTGTAAAACAACAAATATTACAATCATATAACTTAGCAAAGTTATTTGTGATAATTCTAATTCATACCCTACCATAATACATGAACAGAAAACTACGTCATATTGATTCAAAAATTCCTGTCTTTAGATTTGTTTTTACTAATTTTTTGACATAACTGCTGCACAAATCTTCACTAAATTCTTCAGCCATACACAATACGGAATTTAAGAAATAAATACTGTAAAATCACAAATTTTTGTGGGGTCAAATTTTTGAGGCTGAGGAAAAATTATTGTTTTTGGGGACTTAATTTCGTGGTTTGAGAATGTTCAGTAGTAATGCGATTTCAAATTTTATGATGGTCAAAATTTTGTGGGTCTCTTCAAGCCTCGAACTGAAAATTAACCCCACAGGAAAATTAGTGATTTCACAGTATTTCTCTTATATAATCTTAGTCTCTTTGTAGGAAGCTGGTCAAAAATTTCTTGAGGAAATTTGTATGACAAGACATGATTACTTTGATATGGGTAAAATGTTCTCAACATTTGAACACAGGAAAAAAGTGATTTTACTGTATTTCTTTTCTTATATAAGCAAACACATGCTTTTATTTTGATTTGTATGAACTATAATGCATATGTACATAAATTCAATCTTTTTCTGAAAAAAACTTCATCATAACGATTAATGTAATTGTTTTGATATCTTTTTAATTCATGATAACCAAACTAAATTTTCTAAATGTTAATAATATCAATGAATACTTAGATAAATATATCTTTCTTATATATGATTAAAATATTAAACTCTCTTAGTTTAACCACAATCTCAAATATCTAAAATTTGCATTATTTTTTGGTAAAACACAGCAATGAAAACAGCATAGGAAAAAAGTATTTATGTAAGTCTTAAGGGTTTTCTACCATAACCTTACACTGGTGGTCCCATGACCATCAACTGAGAACATACTTTTAGGTCAAAACTTGTTAGTTTTAATATATTGGGCCATCTTAAAAAAATGTTTGCTTGCCCTCTCCGAAATCAGAGAAAAATTATTGGGTCGGTAGGTAGGTGTGAAAATCTTTTTTTTTCCCAGAAAATTTCAATAGATTTGTTGATGGGATAAGAGGGAAAAAAATAATAAAAAATTGGGATCTGGAATGTAAACAAAAATTCTAAAGTTGGTCGACTCAAAAAAAACATTTTTCAACCTCCATAAAATGATTTTTTTTAAATTGTAACAGGTTTTCATTTCATCAACAACTAATAATAGTCTCAGTTTCAGTAATATTGAAAATGAAGCATTGATTATTTTTGGAAAAAATAATTTACCCAACCTACCAATTTACAACCCAAGTTCTTTTTTTTTTTACCTTGAATCATGAGAGTGCATAGACAGATTTTCTAATGATGGTCCAACATATGTTCATTGAAAAGAAATACCACAGAAACGATGTGCACTATACCTCAGCAAAAATAACAAATGTTTCCTCAGTAAACTTTTTTTTTTTCAAATTTAACTTTAGACTATTCCAGTTTTCATTTCACTGAATTCTGCAGTTATGGAAATATAAAATAATCTCTCACTGAGTGATTATCTAAATTGGCCCTTGATTAAGTTTCTTTTTACTATTGAGTATTTTTTTTTAGTTTTACAATGAAATACAAAGTTTTCTTAATCATCTTAGAAATAACAACAAAATTATTACTTTAAAAAAATATCAATAGACATACATTAACTATTTCTGATCAAAACATGCATCAGAGACTTTTGGATGAGTGCAGCTTTTAAAAAGGAAATACAGTAAATCATGCTTCTAACAAAGGACAGAATTTGCTTTGCTATTTACTTATTTCTTTATACATTGTGTATCTGCTAAGTTAACATTTAAATTTCAAAGTTTAGGGCAATGAAAATCATTTAACTATAAGCATCATTTCTTAATAACTGTGTATGTTATATCCATGTTTTACACTGCGACACTGCCATTCTCATGTAACTATTTGACTGACGTGTTCAAAATGAACATACAAATGCCATACCAATACTGTAGATCACTAAATTTTCTTTTATGCGAGATACATTGATTCTTATTGAAACAAAATTTTCAGGAATTGTGGTTATTGCTCTATATAACCTTAAGGAATACTACTATAGCGAGAATTTATTTTCAGAGCACATCGTAATTACAAAAATTATTCTCGCAAATAAAAATGATTTACATTACTCATGCTACAAACTACAATATATGTCTCTAATATATTTCAAAGAATATATATATATATATATATATATATATATATATATATATATATATATATATATATATATATATATATAATATAAAATACTCTCCTGGTATCATATTTAAGGCCCCTTGCTCGTCTTACAGACTAAAAGAAATAATAGACACTTGTGTAAATATGTAAACTGAAATGTACATGTATTAAAGATGCTTTAAATACTTTACATACTCAAAAATCTCATTCCAAGTGGCTATAGTGTGATCTGCTCTTAGATGCAACACAGAATTGACACATATTATATAACGTAAAAATATCAATGTATTCTTAGTATTATAACTTATATTAGACCAAAATAAAATAACTTAAAACATTATTTGCATGCATCTTTAAATGTACTTGTATAAGTACATGTACATGTAAATAACAGTAACTTCTGTTTGCTATCATATCATTGAAGAAAGTCTAAGGAAAAAAATCACTTTTCCATAGTGTTTAGAGTCTCTTGAATAAAGATAACTTTTTATTGACAAAAAAAGGGCAGCTACAGTGTAAATACAATATTTTGATCTCATGAAGAAGATAAATATAACATGTTTATATTGCAGTCCCTAACCAGAGCTTCAGCTCTAACAATGCCTTTCTCTCTATAACTTACCTCTAACAAAATTATCACTTAAAACATATCTAATGCACACCAGTAATGCCACACCTGACAGACCTCAGTGTCTGAGTGTGTTAATATTGCTGTGCAATGTAAGAATGTTAGATCCACTGTTAATGTGTAATTGTTACAAAGTGTATATTCTTTAATAAGAGCAAAAATGTAAATCACTGAAAATACAAAAGAATACTAAAGTCAAATTTTCATGAGGTCAAATTTTCAAGGATTGAGGTAAATTAAAATAAAGGTTTGCATGGATTTTATTTTATGAATAAACCAGAAGTCTCTGTGGAGACTGAAGCTCTACTGGTTTGTACTTATAGCAAAGGAAGAGAAAAGTTCTTAAGCAGTTGGGAATTGAAACTTTACCACAGCAATATATATATATATATATATGCATGCCACATTATATTATTATCAAACTTAAACTGTATTTGGAGTAGAATTTTGAGAGTTTTTAACAGAAATTTCTATTTTTAGTAACAACATCAACACCGTTCATCAAAATCAAAAACCGATACACATAATTATGTATCTTAGTGTAGTCTACTTGTGTGCCAAGTTATATTGAAATCAGACCAAAACTGTAGGAGGAGTAGCATTTTGAAAGAATTTCCAGAAAATTCTAACAAGTAACACCGTTCATCGAAACCAAAAACCGATACACAGAATTATGTATCTTAGTGTAGCCTACTTGTGTGCCAAGTTATACTGAAATCAGACCAAAACTGTAGGAGGAGTAGCATTTTGAAAGAATTTCACAGAAATAGTAACAACGGCAACACCGTTCATTGAAATTACACAGAATTATGTATCTTAGTGTAGTCTACTTGTGTGCCAAGTTATATTGAAATCAGACCAAAACTGTAGGAGGAGTAGCATTTTGAAAGAATTTCCAGAAATTTCTATTTTTAGTAACAACGTCAACACCGTTCATCGAAACCAAAAACCGATACACAGAATTATGTATCTTAGTGTAGCCTACTTGTGTGCCAAGTTATATTGAAATTAAACCAAAACTGTAGGAGGAGTAGCATTTTGAAAGAATTTCAAAGAAATTTCTATTTTTAGTAACAACAGCAACACCGTTCATCGAAATCAAAAATCGATACACAGAATTATGTATCTTAGTGTAGTGTACTTGTGTGCCAAGTTATATTGAAATCAGACCAAAACTGTAGGAGGAGTAGCATTTTGAAAAATTGTTTGTAGCTCTTCTGGTCTCTGACCAGTAGAGCTAAAAATGTTGCGTAGTTATGTATATATATGGAATTTAACATTTCGTGTTGGACATGAATTCCTGGGTTTCATAATCCCTTTAAAACAATGAAAGTTTCACCCCAGAAAAGTTAATGATAGAGTTCATGTAATATTGTCTTTATGCCTGTTACACACTTTGAAGCTGAGTTTGCCCATTGCTGTAACTGTAAATGTCTGTAAAGTTTAACATTAATTAAGTAGAGTTGTGTAAAAGCAGAATATACAGTTAACAACAATAACTTAGCATTGCAAACATCATATGTATTCAACAGTGATATGGTAATGTAACCTATATTCTCTAGGTAAATAATAACAATAAAATGCAATAAAAAGGCTTACTAGAAAGGAATGTTCCTTTTATTACAAAAACTTAAGATGAGACCAAAAATCTTACTTAGTACTTCAAAGCCATTAAAAGTACTGCACAAATTATATCAATGTAAAATATAACAGCAATTGCAAAACTCTATTTTGATTCTTAGCTGCAATTTCTCTGGTAAAACATCTGCGTAGGAGTATTGGTAGATTTGTAGGGTTTTGACATCATCAATACATTTATCAATTGTAAATCTCTTCTTTGTATTTCAATCATTAATACTGAATTACTTTCTCAAGTTAACTATTCTACCCACACAACAACTTAATCTTATGTTGAATAGTTGATATGATGATTATTGGAGACTCATCTTTCATCCACTATGTGAAAAACTGTTGCTTCTTTGAGTAGAAACTTCCTCTGATTTGATATGGTTGTAAAAAGACCTCCAAACTTGAAATAAAATTGACAGAAACTCACTGCTGGAAGGAATAATGAAACAGAACCATAGGGATTAGGTATTCACTGGTTCAGAAGATAAGAATCATATAGAAATAGTATGTTCACTTCATTCTGTTGTAGTCTTAACACTAAATTTTGTATGAAAAAAATTTCTTGATAGAGTTGTCACCAAATACATTTGCAAAGATGGGGGCCAGGCCTGGAGTAGGAATGGATGTAGACATGGGGAGGGGTAGGATCAGTAGGGTTGTGACCAATTCATGAGATGGGACAATGAATATTTGGAAGATGAGTTGTAAGTTAGATTTTTGATGACACAATTTTCTATATGTGTTGACTAAATTTTGTGGAATAGAATGGCTAGACTTGGGATGACTCAATCTGTCTCGTAAACTTGGGGGAGGTGAGTTGATGACTCATGTCTTTTAATAACTAAATTTTTGCAGAGATGAATGGCTAGACTTGCGATGACTCATTCTGTTGTGTAGAACTGGTTGCTGTAGCTGTCTCATCTTCCTCGGGTAAGCTCTCCGCCATCCATTTAGACATCTCCAGGGTTAGGCTGGCTTCTCTTAATACCTGTAAAATACAAGTGAATCAACACCTCAAAAAAGAAATCCTGAGGATGGCTTCTTGCAATACCTGTAAATTAGAGGGTTTTTCACACCTGAAACATGACTGATAGTCTTTATCCTGAAATGCTTCATCCCTGCAAGTTCGATGAGGATAGAGTTTATACAGCGTACAAACTTGAGAAAGAAAAATTTTCTAAAACTTTCAACTCTTCCACCTATCGTGGAATTAGGTCAAATGACCCACCTTCATGTATCATTAAAGTAAGTCATATGACCCATCTATCATGAAATTAATTAGGTCAGATGACCCACTTATCCTGAAAGTAAGTCAGATGACCCATCTATCATGATCTTAGGTCAAATAACCCACCTATCATGAAAGTAGGTCAGATTCAGTATCAATTGCATGATCTATGTAGTATGTATTACTGGGTGCATTATCTCTTGAAGTTTGAGATACTTTTTATATTAACTAAATGCCAAAATTACATTTTAAAAGACTGGTCTTCAAAAATTTTTAAATCAAGGATACTGATGATTAAGATATATACATCATAAATGAAATAATTGGGTGGAGCAAATCTAGCAGACTTTTGATAGAATTTGTAGGAAAAAAGACACAAATTTTAAAATTAATGAAATAGATAATAATAGCAAGAGTGACTTTCATCTTAATTTTAAACTTCAACTTCACATGGAGCTAAGCCTTACTCTGAGGTGTTCCTCAACGTCGGCCATTTTTTGGTCGATCCAGTCCATCTCTCCAGACAATTGGCAAGCATGCTTAGTGACAAGTACTAGATGATTAACAGAAAGCACCAGGGCAGTACACCTGTAATACAATACATCTGTTTTACTGACAAGTATTACATGATTAACAGAAAGCACCAGGACTGTACACCTGTAATACAATACATCTGATTTACAGGTAAGTACTAGATGATTAACAGAAAGAAAGCACCTGTAATACAATACATCTATTTTACTGAAAAATACTGGATGTTTTACTGATAAGTACTAGATGATTTACAGAAAGCACCTGTAATACAATACATCTATTTTCCTGAAAAATACTGGATGTTTTACTGATAAGTACTAGATGATTTACAGAAAGCACCAGGGCAGTACACCTGTAATACAATACATCTGTTTTACTGACAATACTGATGATTTACTGAAAAAATACACCTGTAATACAATACATCTGTTTTACTGATAAGTACTAGATGATTTACAGAAAGCACCAGGGCAGTACACCTGTAATACAATACATCTGTTTTACTGACAAATACTAGATGATTTACAGACAGCACCAGGGTAGTACACCTGTAATACAATACATCTGTTTTACTGATAAGTACTAGATGATTTACAGAAAGCACCTGTAATACAATGCATCTATTTTACTGAAAAATACTGGATGTTTTACTGATAAGTACTAAATGATTTACAGAAAGCACCTGTAATACAATACATCTGTTTTACTGACAAGTACTAGATGATTAACAGAAAGCACCAGGGCTGTGCACCTGTAATACAATACATCTGTTTTACTGATAAGTACTAGATGATTTACAGCGAGCACCAGGGCAGTACACCTGTAATACAATACATCTGTTTTACTGATAAGTACTAGATGATTTACAGAAAGCACCAGGGCAGTACACCTGTAATACAATACATCTGTTTTAGTGATAAAGACTGCATGTTTTACTGACAAGTACTAGATGATTTACAGACAGCACCAGGGTAGTACACCTGTAATACAATACATCTGTTTTACTGACAAGTACTAGATGATTAACAGAAAGCACCAGGGCTGTGCACCTGTAATACAATACATCTGTTTTAATGACAAGTACTAGATGATTTACAGAAAGCACCTGTAATACAAGACACCTGTAATACAATACATCTGTTTTACTGATAAGTACTAGATGATTTACAGAAAGCACCAGGGCAGTACACCTGTAATACAATACATCTGTTTTACTGACAAGTACTAGATGATAAACAGAAAGCACCTGTAATACAATGCATCTATTTTACTGAAAAATACTGGATGTTTTACTGACAAGTACTAGATGATTTACAGAAAGCACCAGGGCAGTACACCTGTAATACAATACTTCTATTTTACTGACAAGTACTAGATGATAAACAGAAAGCACCAGGGCAGTACACCTGTAATACAATACATCTATTTTACTGAAAAATACTGGATGTTTTACTGATAAGTACTAGATGATAAACAGAAAGCACCTGTAATACAATACATCTACTTTACTGAAAAATACTGGATGTTTTACTGATAAGTACTAGATGATTTACAGAAAGCACCAGGGCAGTACACCTGTAATACAATACATCTGTTTTACTGACAAGGACTAAAAATAAGAACAGATTTCTTATAATTCTTGAAACTTTGAAGTAAATTGTTATTTCCTAAATATTAATTGTATGTTAGGACATCCAATCATAGTAGATTAATACATACAGATACAGTAAAACATGCTTATGATGAATTGATGCTTACAGTTAAGTGATATTCACTCCCCTGGGTTTTTATCGTAAAATAAATTGTACATGTTATGCATATATATATTAGGGCTGTACCAATATATCGATATTCAAGAAAAAGGGCAGTACACCTGTAATACAATACACTATTTTCCTGAAAAATATAGGACAAACAGTTTTTCTTCTAATTCTGTTAAAAAGATGGGAATTTCAATCACCAAAGATTATATTTCACTTTTTTGAAATACAACTGTTAAATAATTATATAATTTGTAAGGAAATAACACAGTTTTTATAATTATTACAAAACACAAAGAGAAATTTATTTGAACATGTTGATTTTACTGTCATTAAAAGTTTTAATTTGAAGTGTTATTTGTAATGACAGTGTCCCGTGGGGATCCGGGTTAGAATAGGTCCTCAGTACCCATTGCTTGTCGTAAAAGGCGACTAAATGGGGCGGTCCTTCGGATGAGACCGTATAAACCGAGGCCCTGTGTCACAGTAGGTGTGGCACGATAAAGATCCCTCCCTGCTCAATGGCCCTGAGTGCCGAGCATAGGCCTAAATTTGCTGCCCTTCACCAGCAATGGTGACGTCTCCATATCAGTGAAATACTCTGGAGAGGGACGTTAAACAGTACGGAAATATAAAAAAAATGTAATGACAGTGAGGCAAGAACTTTAAAATGGGTAATTAAAAACTTAATTGTTATAAAATTTATGCATAAAAATGAATTATAAGCCTTTTCTGATGGATTTGATTTAGAATCCAATATACCGCATATCGCTTTGAAAAATATTGTATCGTATCGTATCGAAATTTTTGGCTCAATACACAGCCCTAATATATATATAATGAATACATATATAATGAATTCTGCTTATCCATCCCTGGCACTTTGTTTTAAACTTTAACAGTAAACACACACTCTCTCCTTGGAAGGGGACTCAGCCCTTCATTCTAACCATTTAAACTTCTCTTTACTTAAGGATGCTTTGTACCAAGTTAAGATAAAATTTCATACACACCTGGCCTCTAAGAGACGTGGGTCCAGTGGTGGATACATGGCTACGACGACTTCGTCGACGCGGGGACTGATCCTCTTAGCGACGGTCACCACCTCCGTCAACAGCTCCTGTGTGTGAATCGTCTGGGAATTCCCCATCGTCATGCCGACCAGCTGTTCCGTCAGGTATTTACACGTCTTCAGGACGGAGAGACAGTGAGGCACTAAACCTCTGTAACGAAATTATGCCAAAAAATTATATTTTCAGTGTTTCATATATCGATTAATACTTTTTCTTGTAAATGTATTATATTTTATTTATATCTACGTGTGTGACATTTAGCGTTGTACTTGAATTAGTGGATGTTGATTTCTGTGTAGGTGCCAAAAAGAATACACTGCTAAATATTAGTTAATAAATACATTTACAACATTTATACATGGTGTTTTCCGGGGATTTATGCACTTTTTTGTTTAATTTCATTCTATATATTGCATGAATTTATTGCAGACTGATTTGATTTCACATTTCCATTTTGATATAAAATATGTGAAATTCAACATTTGCAAAGAAATCAATGCATTTTGCCAATGAATAAATGATAATGTTGCTGTTGAAAATAAACACAATTAATCATGTTAATGTGTATGTGATAAAAGAAAGTTGCTTTAAATTTTAGTTTTCAAATCATCAAATGATCTTAATGTACTCATTCAAAACAAAAAAAATTTTAATGTTATGCATATATATAATAATTCTACTGATAATTTGGCACTTTGTTTTAAACTTATAATTACACACAACACACTCCTCAGACAGGGGACTCAGTGCCTTACCAGGGGTTTTGAAAATATATCAAATTTTAAATTTTTTGCATTAATCAAAGAAAAATGTACCAAAATTACAAATCATAAATTCCAGATTTTTTTTCATCAAAAATTGTTTTAGAAGAGGAGTACAAATCCATTTATAGACTTTAAAAATATTGCACACATGTCCTTCATTTAGTGGAACTCTTCAACTCTACGGAAGAACCCAATAAAGTTCAAACTACGTTAAGTATGACCTTAAATTCACAAATGAATATACATATATAGATATATTACATCGTCATATCCGACCAGCTGTTCTGTCAGAATCTGATCCAGTTTTTCATCTGGACATCCGGAGCTCCACACCAGCAGTTACCGGTCTCTGTGTGTCCTCTTCTATTAACTGGACATCTGGCCTGTAAAATAATTTACAGTAAAACTAAAAATATCTGGCCTGTAAATAATTTACAGTATTGTAAAATAAAAAAAAACATCTGGTCTGTAAAATAATTTACTGTCCAGTAAACTAAAACAAGAGATGTTTGTAAAACACTTATGCCCCCCTCCCCCCAAATTGGATTTTTTTCTAAGTCCAAAAGGGCATAACTCTGTCTAAAATGGTGCGATTCTAACCAAAACATAACTTGACCTAGATATTCAGCTGTAAGCTGTATGCTAAATTTCATTTCAATATGTGCAACCATTGCAAAGAAAATGAACGGAAACTGCAAATAAGTGGAATTTTTTTAAGTCCAAGAGGCATAACTCTAACAAAAAGGGTGCGATCCTACCCAAAACAGAACTTGACCTAGATATACATGTGCACGTGAAAAATCTGTATACTAAATTTCATTTCTATATCTGCAACCGTTGCAAAGAAAATGAACAGAAACTGCAAATAAATGGAATTTTTCTAACTCAAAAGGGCATAACTCTAATAAAAATGGTGCAATCCTACCCAAAACAGAACTTAACGTAGATATTCAGCTGAAAAATCTGTGTACATGTACTAATATTCATTTCAATATGTGCAACCTCTGCAAAGAAAATGAATGGAAACTGCAAATAACTGAAATTTTTTTAAGTACATGGGGCATAACTCTGTCAAACAAGAAATCTGTGAGCCAATGCTCACTAGTAATACCCCCGCTCTGATGCAAATAAGCACTATCATGTTAATATACTGTTTACACAAGTTCAATTACAGGCAGATGAAGTTGACATCAGATTCATATCAAAATTACACCCACCATATGGCATGCCCCAACAAAGTCGGTAATTAAATTTCAAGCATCTGCTATGAATAGCTAATAAGAAAACTGCTATGAAAATTTGTCATGTATGAAACGGACAGATGCACAGACAAACAGGAAGTTGACATTTTTTGAGCAAAAATGTATCCCACCATATGGTATGCCTCAGAAAAGACAAAATTTCAAGCATCTACGTTGAGTAGTTGCTGAGAAAACTGTGACGAAAATTTGTTTCGGACGGACACATTTGTAACAGACAGCCAGCTGGAAGAAGAAGACAACGGAGAGACACACAAATAATTGGAATTTTTACTAACCCCCCTCTCCAAAAGAGCATAAAGCGGGGGTCAAAAAGATTTGATTGTTTTCAAAACAGAACTTGACCTAGATATTCTTATGATAAATCTGTATACCATATTTCAATATGTGCAACCTCTGCCAGGAAATTGAAAGGAAACTGATGATAGACCAACAGACAGACCTACAGCAGCCCTTCCCTCTTTGAAAGGAGGCATAAATATCTGGCCTGTAAATAATTAACAGTAAACTAAATATATCTATCCTTTAAATAATTCACAGAGGTATAATAATTTACCTGGTCTCTCGGTGCTGTTGAGTGATGAGATCCGACTCTTTCTTACATTTCTGTCGACACACGAACACCAAGGCAACAACGGAAGCTATAAAAACGGTAGACAGGACTCCTATTGCTATGGCAACCACCAGTTCCATGGCTATGGGGCCTCTTGGATGTCTACCATTGTCACATTTCTAAACAGACCTACAGGATAAAATAAAATGGCTATGATTTATTTCATTTTTTAACTAAAATGGAACAGAACCATCAGAAAAGAGTAAAATTAGTAAAAGCATTGTGTACACTTATCATGATTATATTTGTGTTTGAAATATGGAGCAATTTTCCATGATATGTCTAATAAAGGTTTAATTTCATCCCTATTTAAAAGAAAAATCAAAACACAGATTTTTTTTGCACTGAAAGGTCGTTTTTGCATCCTTTAAGCATAAGGCAGTGCCTTAAAGAAGGAACTATTTATTAATTTTTTTTTGGCAAAAAAAAATAATTAATAGGGTAAAAAATAATAAAAATCACTTTTGTGTGATCAGAAATTTTAATATGTTTACTGTATGTGACTGTATTAACTGTAGATTTAAATTACCTGCTATATCATACATATACATTTTTAAATCAACTGAAAACCAACTATCACTCAAGTCATCTTTTATTCGCAATTCATCAGTTTGAAATCAATTTCCTGCAAGTAATTTTCACCACTGCGGAATGATTCTCTATAAAGCAAAATGATTGGTTTGCTGCAATTAATATTTGTGATTTAAAGTTGGTTTTGAAACTCGCAGTTATTTCTCACACACAATTAAAGCTTGTTAACAATACTCAAGAGATAATTGAAAATGTATAAACATGGAAGTTAGCAGAAATAACAGATTGTTTTAGTATTATCAAGTCAAAATTGAGTCAGAAATTACATGACTGCATATAAATATCATGAGTATTGCTCTATACGTCAGTTATGCCATTTTGTTGCATCAGGATCAATTTCAATATAATTGCAGTATTCAGACAGATATTGTCAATTCTGTATGCAATTGATGATAAGCATTCTACATGAATTAATAATTTAACAAAATTTGTGAAACATGAATTGATTTTTTTTATCTTTCATTAGGCAGGTAGGCGTTCATGAAATTGGCTCAGCTCACCCACCCAAATTCATTTAAGAGTATAATGTTTCTTCTTCACTTTACCATGTTTAGCATGCATGTACAGAAACTTTTAACAAAACAAGAAAACAAAATTAATATGGCTTTTATGACCTTTAACCAATTAGATTAAAACTCTTCTTGATATGGAGGTAAAAAAAATCATTATCACCAACCCATTGGGCATCCTTAAACAATATGTTGCTTCATCATGTTCATATGACCGACAACCGAGACTACAAATTGTTATTCTTTTTAGTCTGGAGATAAAAATATTACAAAATTATACCTTTCAAGCCTCCTTAAATACTGTTGGTCATTGAATATCTAGAAAATGTTTTGACATCCAATCCATGCAATGAAATATTGTTGAATATCCAAATTATCAAAATCACTCGAGAGAAAAAATATATTAAATTCTATAATCCATAATCACACAAACTTAATGTCAGCATCTTAAATGGTAAAATCATAAGTTCTCCAATTATCAAAACCCAATGACAATCTGAGAACTAGGAATATTGACCAAGTTGCTCAAAATGAAGACAACTTGTTCCTCAAATCACACACAACAGGAAATCACCTGAAGACCGTTATCTGAATATGCATCAAATGTTCAGAACAAAAAAAGGCTATGTTGAATTAAAGTGACAAGCAAAATTTATATTCATGTTCGTCCTTAATGAATCACTTTGACAAGTTACAAGGAGAAAGGTGACGGATTCGACACATTTTCGTCAGGATAATTTGCATAAACTTTGCATATCATACATGTCTGTGTTTCACATCGCAGTGTATTATAATGATATTATGTAAAGTAGGATTAATTTTCCTAAAATTGGTGTAAAAATTGAATACATTAAAACTGTTTTGTGAATTTCCAGGAAATAAGTTAAATTTCAATCTGTCAGAGTAATGATTGCTCTGCAATTGCCTGAATTTTACATAATAAATAGGACCTATATAGAACGTGACTTTAAAAAATAACATTTAAAAGATTTTTCTACAGTAATACTTTTCTTTGCCATTGTCATCCCTTACTACCCCTGAGCCTTATTGAGGTCATGATTTAAACAATTTAGAATCCACGTCCACTGCCTGAAGATGCTAGTATCCCTATGCAAAACTTGTAGACTAGTGGCACCATCGAATTTTCCCCGTTCATGATTGTAAAGAAATTTTTTTTTAATGACCTCCACCTAATTTTCACTTTTTCTGATTTATCAATTTATGTCCCCTAGGAAGAATGGGTGTGGTCCTGCATTTGATACTCTAAGGAAGTTTGGTTAAAAATGGCCCAATGGTTCTGGAGAAATATATCATGTATACATGGTATATAAATTGAAAATGTGAAATTCAAAAGTTTATGACAATCAACAAACTGACCAAAGACAAAGGACAAATTTTAATCAGAAAAGTTTTACCTTTTGCTCAGGTAAGCTAAAAAAGCTCACTTGAGCCTTTTGCTCAGGTAAGCTAAAAAACAAAATATATTATTAAGTTATGAAATGAAGATGTTTAATTCAAACCTGAGAAAAATTCATGTTAAACCTCTGTTTTCATCCTTACAAGCAGAAATCTTTCTCCCCTAATATCAAAACACAACTGCTTCAAGTAAAACATTGACAGACATTAACAACAGAGGTTTAATGGCTTTGAATCATGTTCCTGTATATTAAGGACAAGTGTGTTGATCTATTTATTTAAAAGAAATTTACATTAAACAGCAGCATACAAGTTTACCATATGAACCTCATAAAAATGTGACCTTGCACAAAACATTGTAATTTCTTAACCATCTTTTTGCATCTTTTTATTTACATAGACTGCATGTACCTATTATACATGTTAAAGCATGCAAAACATGCCCTTTTTTGGAGGGGGATCTAAAAAAAAACTTCTACTTCTATATAATAAAGATCAACCAAGCAGCTTAAAAATGTTTTTTTTTTAAATAAAATGATATAAATTAAATTCAAATTGGAAAGGGGAATAAGAAATATTGGAAGCACTTGAATAATGAAGTAAAATATACACATGCAGATAGGCCGGGGGAAGGGCTTATCAATGGAGAAAGGGGGTGGGGTAGTATGGAGGATTGGCCAAAGTAAAAGTAGCTCATTATGTATATGTAATGGAAGTAAACAGTACAGGTGAAGATTTGCAATGCAATTAGTTTTGGGAGATCAAGGGTGAATCAATCCTGCAACTGATAACAGATTTTTTTCCCCCTTTTTTTGTTAGATCTAAGATGGATAGGACAAAAAATAATTGTGATCAGTGAGACAGAAAGAAAATAAAAAAAGACTTTAAACCCATAATCTTAAATAACTTCACTGACTACCCTTTTATTTCAGAGAATCCATGCATTTAACATGTTTTTAATTAGCAAGTTCATTAAGGACAGAAGACACCTGAAATAACACATAACATCAGATGTACTTTTGATATAAATTTGCAAACCCGCAGTGGGTTCACACATAAATATATCACAGCTATCATAATTAAACAAGACATATTAAAAAGCATGCAAGCTTTTATACACCAATTAAGATGCTCCAATTAATTAACACCTTGTCTGTAATTAATACAAGTTGCACTGGAATCTTATGCATATATTTACAAGATTAATAGAAGATATGGCAGACTATAATAGCTATACGATGTATTGCACAATTCTTCTTATTGTCTAATGTGCCCTTTGGAAAGGGTAAAGTATGAAAAAAAACCCTGCTGAATTAGAACCCTAGAACACATGACAATTTCAAATGCCTTTTAGCTAGTCATCTATCAAGCACCTGCTATTGTTAAGTTTCAGATCCCTCACCTACTAACATCATGAACCTTGGATGAAATGTTACCATTAATTAATGACACCTGCTAATTGTTATTTGTACAATGTAGTACCCCTCCCCTTCCCTCCCCTTTTTAAATCTGTCAAATACAATTTTCCTCCAAACTTTACCATTTTATATAATCATGTAAATTATTTTGTTTGTTTGGTAGGGGACCAGAAACAGATGAACTGCTATTTGAACTAAGTCTCCTTTTCTGCTCTGAACAAATTCTAAATCCTTATTTTATTGCTTTGTGGCTTTGTAATTATGTTCCCCAAACGAAGTTGGGGAACATATTGTTTTTACTCTGTTTCTTATTATTATTATTATTATTATTATTATTATTATTTTTCTTCTTCCTGGGAAAATTTTGTCCACGAGTGATCTTGTAAACAACACATCTGACTTAGGTGAAACCTTTTTAGGGTCAGTAGGCATGTTATGTAGAGTTGCCAAACGAAGGTCATTTTGCGCGCACGTGCTTGCAAGAGCGCGCACGTGCAACACGTAAAATGACCAATATAATGGATATTGCTGTAACTTTTCTATTTTTTGATGAAAATTCTTAAAACTCATAATGTAAAAATATATTAGTAGTATAGACAAGATGACATGGTCAAAATAGCAAGATCTCACGCGCATGCACGTGCGCTTTGCTCTGATTGGCTGAAACTAAAGTCTCAATATCTTTCTTGTTTTACGTCATAATCCTTTGAAATTTTGATGTTTAGTTACACATTATAAAGGTCTACAGCCTGATATATAAGAATTTTCATGAAAGCACGTACATGCACATGTGCTGGAAAGAGCGCACACGTGCAACATGTGAAATAACCAATTTTATTGATGATGACATAACATTTCTATTTCTTGATGATTTTTTTAGAAACTCATAATGTAAGGATACATTATTAGTATAGACAAGATGACATGGTCAAAATAGCAAGATCTCACGCACATGCACGTGCGCTTCGCTCTGATTGGCTGAAACTTAAGTCTCAATATCTTTCTTGTTTTTTGTCATAATCCTTTGAAATTTTGAACATAGTCCTACATTATGAAGATCTACAGCCTGATAAATAAAAATTTTCATGAAAGCATGCGCAAGCGCGCGTGCTGCAATCTGATTGGCTGAAACTTTAAATGGCTATATCTCCCTTGTTTTTTTGACGAAATGCTTTGAAATTTAAAGCATAGACAT